TGTGTTGCGCTTGTCATCGTAACCGGGAACAACTGACAGTCCTCCTAACAAACAACTCTCAACCGTTCTATGTTTCTTCTTATTGGGAGACCTGTGCGATAAGACTGGTACAAGAGCCTCTTCTCTTTTTGTTTCTTGAATCCGGTTTTCAACGGTCAGGTATAGCCGCCAAGGCTTTTTAATCTCCACAATAAAGTTCCTCTTCTGTAATTGTGGTTATATTGTAATGTTCATATGGAAATTCAACATGCTTAGATATATAATCCTCTTAATTTGAAGGTCTCGCCATGTTCTTAACATTAACTTTTTTCAAGGGGGAGCCTTATTTTGATCTAAAATTTTCTTCGTTTGAAATAAAACTTAATCCGTGCTCTCGGCAGTATCTAAAATTTAGAGTCTTTCTCGAATCCTCCAACTCTAAGCCGTAACGTTTCCAAACCTCTTTCTGCCATTTTTTGAATATAAGAAAAGGCGGTCCTTTTTAAAAACGTTTCCATCTTTCCAAATGTATTTAAAGTGTGTGCTGCAAGGGGTCACAGATTGGGAAACCAAATTGGTTTAAAATGAAATGTCGACATTTTTGTTATTTTCACTGAGATTAAAGTAAGTACTTAATGAACTCGGGGAAGTTGAGCGTCAAATCCATAATTTGTATAAACTTTGTCATTATTTTACGAATGAGGCCCGAATGACATTTTTGCCTACTAAGCTTTCCAGTACATACATTTGGATGATAAATCTTGCTTGACAATAACCTGAAAATATCTCGCGAGTAAGGATTTCTAACCAAACAGAAAGATGTCCCTTCTCCTCGACACGCCTTTAAGTCTTGTTGCTGAAAGTTTTGAAGGCGGGTTTATTAATTTAAACTTGGGATCTAAGAATTCAATTCGAAAGGTGATGAATAACTTTCCTGACTATAAGTACAGTGTCTAGAATTCTTTTCCAGGAATGTTGATCCAACTTTTGTTAATCGGACAACATAATATTAAAAACGAATTATGCGAAACAATTTTGGGAATACTTGGCTTTTCCATTTCAAACTGGAAGAAACAGTCCTATTCGTTTTTAGACAACCTTCATTTATTGACTTCTTCGGTCTTTCAGCATAGAAGGATTCCTGGTCAATAAGGTTCATCGTATAAGGGTCTGCACCCCCCTCCCCAGAAGGATATTTTGAATGTTATGTTTTTAAAGAAAAAGTTTCTTATACGTCTTAAGATAGTGGTTCCTGAATGATATATAATCCTGAAAATACATGTACAGAAATGAGCCTGTATCTACTACTATTATCTAAATAACCTTTTAACTGACATTTTTGTTTCTGGATATTTTAAGTTAAAACGTTTAAATTTGTAAACAAACCACAACAATAAAATAACCACAACGCTTTAAATTTTAACGATTTTATCCACACAATATTACATAATTATAAAGATAGTCGGACAATTAGAACATTGAAACAAGTTCGTTATAAGTAAAATGTGATTGATAAAGAGAAGAACATTAAAAAAATCAGTCAAACTTAAAACCGTATGAGATAAAAAAAAAACCTGTTTGTTTTGCATTTTAGATAAAATTTGCTTGCATATCAGACAGAAATATCTCCTGTTTGTACGGTTGCTATGTCAAAAATAGAAAATATAAGAATCCCTAAAAAAGTCCAAACTGGCAAAATTGAAAATGTTGCTGGCTGGGTTTGATTGTGCCTGTTCATGGACGGTACTGTCAAGTGCAAACTATCGTTCTCAACCCTTAGTACGGGCTTAAGCAGAATTCAACATTTAAACATGAAATGGTAAACAATTGAATTTTAAATCATCCGCAGATGTGTACATATGGCGGTTATCATGGAACCTTTACTGTGACACTTCCGTGCCATTCCATGAAAAGCGGCGTATGGTCCCCAGGTAATAGAAACTGTGGGCGGAACTAAACAAAAGAGAATTTTGAAAGAGGAACGGGGGTTTTGTTTTCATTTTGTTTCATTTTACGCCTTTTCCCAACAGTATTTCAGTCATAATAGGCAACAGAGGTTGAGAAGCCTGAATATCACAGGTATGGGACGTCAAAAGACCAAAGTTAAAAAAAAGGCAACACAGCCTTAGGATGATTCCACCCAAGTAGAATATGCCAAAAAGTTTAAAATAAAAATACCAAACACACAGCAATAATGTCGTGCTGAACGATCTTTAAGTCGTGCGTAAATGACGTCATTCCCATTCGCCTTTTATGAATGAATTGCGTTTATAGAATGACGTCATTTCTCCGTTATAAAGTTGTTAATTCATACGCTACTTTAAGCAAAAATGTGCCTAATAAAATATAATTTTTCGGGCCAATTTCTTTCCGGAAATTCTTGAATAAAATTTTAGATAATCCAAGTAAAAAGAATAAATACTGGGTTGTCGCCACCAACCGGGGAAAGTCTAAGCTTTCGGATAACTTTGTTTAGCGGGGAAACCTGGCAGAGGTCCTCAATTTGCCCGTTAAACACAGTTAACCTCGAGTAAATTCCAGTTGTACCGGAAAGCCGGTGTCTAAAATTCCTGGAATAATCTAAACAGTGCCGCTTTGAATTTTATTTGTATAATATTTTAACCCATAAATTTATCAGCTCAAAGGGCAGAAGCTTAAAAATGAAATACTGAAAGTATACCTTGTAAAGCCATGAACAAGCAAATAACACATATTAAATACTTTCCTTTTCCAAAGTAAAGTTTCATTTTCTATTTATTTTAAAGTAAATCTGTCAAATTAAGCCAAAAAAACGTCAATAAAATGCAAACACACAAATGTCAACTGATAACGTTAACCTGGTTAAGAAAATACACTTGACTTCAAGCATTTATAGTCTTATGTAATCGATGAAATCAAAATTAAAGAAGCAGATGTCACAATATATATATCGAACCCGTTTCAAAGTTCAACGCCTTATCTATATAGATAATCGGACGGTGAGACAGATGGCAGAATTCCTGCGCGTTAGAAACAAACATAACGAATATTGAAGATGTTTTATGAAATGCCAAAATGATGATAATGTATTTTATTTATCGTGAAATATGATTTGTGTTTGGATGCGTGCGCGTGTGCGATGTGTGCGTGTGTGTTTTAACGTTTCCATTATAGTATCACATTGTTAGTGAGGTCATACATGTATAATGTTGAATCTATGTGCGATTAACCTTGTTCAGGCTGCGGTAAGAAGAATTGTGCGACAGGAAAAGAAATAACATTGTTTATTACTATTTGTAAGTGTTAGTTTCCTCAATCCTTACTGTTATAATTATTATATACAATTAGTAATTACATTGTATTTCCACACGAGTGTACAATGTATTCTTTAGTAATGGGAAGTAAAAACTCGTTTTAAAACTGGAGCTTCTCAATTTTCCCTATTTTCTTCCTGTTTTGGCTAGGTTTTTAAAGTTAGAAATATCAGTTTTAAAAACGTTAGATTGAAAATAACATACTTTGCCCCTAATGATCCCTAATTTGGTAATACATCTTAGCGCTTGATTATAAGCATCAGGAATGGGCCAAATATAATAGATATTGGACTCGGTTTCGCACACAAGGTTATTTTTTATAGTTTTAACTTAATGTTATTTTACATCTTAAACATATTTAATAATTTTTTTTATCAATTTTAAGTCCAGATAAACATTTTTGGGGGCAAATTTTCAAGACTACAAATGAATTTATTACACATTGTTTCTACGGTCTGCAAACATTTATATCAAAGCATAGTAGCGCACAGTAAACATTTAACAGCAACACAAACATATTCTTTACAACTTGTAGGTAGTTAACACAGATTTAAGAACTTATTATTAAAAGTTTTTATCATCCCTTTTGTTCTGATTTACTCCCTTAAGAGTTTGATATTTAAAAAAAAGAATCTGACTTAACATTTGGTAGTTTCATGTGCATTTATTCCATAACAAACAGCAAATTTGCCATAAAAAACATATATTTATTTTCAAATATATCTATAATCTGTCTAAAGTATACTTATATATTCAAAAGAGAGGCTGGGGTAATTCTAATTATCTGATTAGTGAATACAATAAGAATTTCACCACCACATACGTGTTAACAAAAGAGCACATGTCAATGTTTGTGGCAAAATCTATTGATATTCAAGTAAAAGGTCAGAGTACAGATCCGTTAAGAAACAAAAGATAACACTCAGCTAACAAATGTCTGATACAAAAAGTATCGATACTTCTCTAGAAATGTTACCCTACACCATAACTTTTAAACACTTGTTAGATTAGAGAGTCTATTAAAACTTTCTTGAAAATTTACTCAATTTAGGGGCTGTTTACTATGTTTGCCTTAATTTTTCAGAAATAAATGAGATAATATCGTAACATTTTAAACTCTTCATCGTGAAGTTTTTATTTTATTACACTTTGAAAATATTAGGTCTTAATTAAATTTTAACGAAGTTTCTTTTTTAAATCTATTGGCTGTTTAGATATTCTTCAAAGAGGATGTAATGCATAAGAATGGCCGTACCTTAAATCAATTTGTCAAATGGCCTCTAACACAGAAATTTAAATAGTTCACATAATGGTATCTATGTATGATTAAACATAAGATTCATGATATCCTGTATTGAAAACTTATATAGTTTTAAACATTAAACATAGTTAGAGGTAAAAAAAGGCACAAACACTACCTAAACTATCTCAAAATATGGAAAGAATTATTCTTCTTTCTATTTTTATTACCTTAATATTTGATATCATCATCATCATCATCATCATCATCATCAACAACAACAACAACATTTTTTTCTTATATATATGTACATGTATATTCATTTATTCATTTTTAGTTTATTGTATTTTTTCTTTTTGCTCATCTGCTAAAGTTTGCAGTTTTAATTATAGCATTTATATTTTCGGACATGTTTGATGATTCATTTGAAGTACCTTGGAAAGATTTTGAGATAAAAATAATTACATTTTCAAGTAGCATTTATGTATTCTGCGTTTTTCAGCTATCGAAAGGAAGTTTAAACTTGAAGAAGTTAATTATATCGGTTTAATTATTTGACACAATATTCGGAAGTTTAATCATAAGAAGAAACAACAGTGCCGTTTCGTATCATAATTTAATTGAGAAATGTTCAAATGACGGGGTTATTCATTCCAGGGTTGATTTTCTTATTTACCAAGGCGGTGAATCGTATGTTATTATTATACTTAATTTTTCAATGTTGTTCGGTGTTATTCTTGTTGCTCGTGTAATTGCTATTGGTGTTGGTTGTTGGTATTGCTGATGTTATTATTGTTATTGTTGTTGCTGTTGCTGCTGCTGATGATGCTGATGATGGTGATGAAAATGATGTTGTTGTTGTTGTTGCTGTTGTTGATATTGTTGCTTCTGCTGTTGCTGCTGATGTTGATGATGATGGTGATGATGATGATGTTGTAGTTGTTGTTGGTATTGTTGTTCAAGTATTTAGTTTAAATGGTATTGTCAGTGACAAAGGTGTTAGTAAAGGTGGTTGCTGTTGTTATAGCGGTAGAGGTGGTAGATGTGGCCGCATCATCATCATCATTATCATTATCATTTTAATTAATTCAATTATCAATTGAATTCTTCCACATGTTTCACAGATCGATTTTGTATTTTTGCATGCCTCCATATGAGCAAAATTATTTCAGGAAAATCAAACTTGCAAAAAGTGTACAACGGTTTTTAGGAAAGTATAATAATGTTAACATCCTTGTATTAATGTTCGTGGTTATGCTCGATTTTAACTGAACCACTATATGAGCCGCGGCAAAACCAACATAATGGGTTTGCGACCAGCATGGATCCAGACCAGTCTGCGCATCCGCGTAGTCTGATCAGGATCCATGCTGTTCGCTTATAAACCCTATAACAAGGAGAGAAACTGATAGCGAACAGCATGGATCCTGATCAGACGGCACGGATGCACAGACTACGCCCCCTCGTACAAATCAGATAGCCTCGTGTTTCGGTGCTCTTTCTATTACTTAATTTCTAATTAATATTTTTATTAGCTCTTTCAGAACCATCCGGTTTTATTGGATGCTACTATGATCTATTTGGAAGAACTATTACTAATGCCTTAACGCACAAAAAAATGAAGAGAGATGCATATGTATTAGAATGTATCAACTATTGTGAAAGAGCCCATTATAGATACGCCGGGGCAAAGGTAATATTATAAGGTGTTAGTTTAATCATATTCATTTTAGATCTTGCAACTTACATCAATCACTTTTGGGTCTGCTTCTTGGACCCGAGTAGGACTCGAACCGATGTTCCTTGGGTTGACAGGCAGATACTTTAACCACTCAGCCATCGCCCCCTATAACTAGCGAATTATACTAGTAGCGTTTACAAAAATATGTTTAAATTACGTTAAATTAATTGACACAATGTGTGCCTTGGTTTGTTTTTATCAAGAAAGATAATGACAACAGATTACAGACAACCAGATATCCCTTAAATGTAAAAAAAGAGAAATATTCTAAATTGACTTGTCAATAGTGTTTGTTATATAATAAGAAATCAGACAGGGCGCGTTATCTGTTGCAGTGTTATTCTTTGGATATTATTGGAAAATTAACATGTACTATTTTAAATCATTTTTCCTTTACTAGCCCGCCTTTAAATCTATGCTTAATCTTACTATTTGTCAGGCAATTTAGTAAAAAGATCGCTATAACAAGTGATCAAATAAAACAATTAACGATATTAAATAATTATCTATCCTTGACCATTTACAACACATGAACTATCAAATTTGAATGAGGCCAGTGACTCCAACAGTTTTCGCTTGAAATATTATCATGCAGAGTTGTAATAAATTCTATTGTGTAATGTTCATTCTGTATAATGTATTAATGTTACCGTAGCATAAAACACACGATTGAAAATCTTGAAAGGGCTCCCATAAAAAGCCCGATACTGTGTTCAGTATTTAATCTTTACTAAAACTTTAATAAACTTTAACTAAAAGACTTTACTAAACAGATGTTAATAAAATATGTGTTTATACCTTTTCATGAAAGTATCACAGGCAACACATGCACTGTTATTGTGGCAACAAAACACGATATCATAATGTTGAATCAATGTGCGATTATCCTTGCCCAGGCAGCGGTAAAAAGGAATGTGCGGGAGCAGGAGAAATAACATTGTTTAGAACTATTCGTAAGTTTTTGTTTCTTCAATCTTAACAGTTATAAGTATTTTATAACTATATTGTATTTTCACATTTGTGTACTATGTACTTTTTGATAAAGGAAAGTACATACTCGAGTTTAAAACTCGTGCGTCATCAATATTCCAATGTCCTTCTTGTTGTGGCAGGGTTTTAAAAATTCGAATTAATACTTAAATGTATAATGCAATAAACTTCACCTAAAGCGGCATGGTTATAGCGATTTTTCGGTAATAAGCAATTATCACTTATATGGAACTCATTTTTAGTCCAAATTAAGTTATTACAATTTTATTACGAATTCCAAATTAAGGCTACCGCATTTTCTAGTTTTGTTTTCATCGGCACGGATTAAAACTCGGCTATGAAAATAAGTTTGTTTAGTAGTACGTAATAGTTTCTATTTAAAATATTTTTAGCATGACTTCTTGTCACAAGAGAAAATAGTTATTCATTTTATTCCATTAGTTCGTTTGTTTTATATTTTGCTCAATGTCATTTACAATCGGTTGTCAACATAATAGAGCACATTATTTCTTGAGTAAAAGCCGTTGAAAAGTGCAAATTACGTTAGATTGAAATGAATAGAAATCCATATATGTCATAAGTTAAAGTCACCCTTTAATAATATAATCGAAGATATTCAATAAAAAAGGAACGAAAAATCGAAAAAAAAAATTCTTGAATCAATATAAGGGATACAACAATGACGGACCCAAGTGAGTTATTTTTCTTAATCAAATCTTGCTTTTCAACATGGAGAACGATGGTAAACAATCAGTTCGTTAAATGTTAATATAATACGAAATAAAAACTCCTGATACAAGGAACTAATTCGCAATGTGCTTACAAGGAACTCCGGGTATAACGAATATATTTTGAATGTCTTAAGCGAGGTTTACTGTATATATATTTGAATAAAATGTATATGTGTATTATGTATAAAATTTATATGATTATAATATATATTACTTAACAAAATTTCTTACTCATAGTTATATAGTAATACAGTAAGAAAATCACATACATAATTATTATTTCTTTATTTATTAATTTAAAAGATAAATGAGATATTGTACGACATTTTAGTAATTATCAATCTATTCTTTTCGCATATATTTTTATTCATAGTAGACACAAAATGTACATATATTTACTTATTTCTTAATCAACACTGTCACGAACTCCTTCTACTGATATGTCTGAATGACAAAAAGTATAATTGAACCAGGTACGTATATAAATATACGTACCTGATTGAACAGCGCGGATAATGTCCATAACAGTCTCTTAAAGTCTAAAACGCCTATTTATGCTAGAAACTCCACTACATTAGTTTACTTTAGGTTATCTTCAGATGAAAGGAGATTTACCACTTCAACAAGTCTCAAAGAACTTTTGATTTCATTGAATAAGATTGTGACGATAGGATATAAATCAAATAGACAATGTTTCCACAAGATTTTATTCTGAATTAACAACCAAAAACATCATATCATTCTTCAGAGAGACGGACAAACAGATAAAATTTTTTTAAAAAGATGTTTGTCAGTTTATATGGCGCATTATGACAATTATGCAAATGTATATTTCTTTAAGTCTTGGAGTAAAAAACATTGTTGTCTGATATCGTATTTATTGTAAGAAACCGAAGCGAGTACAAAAATATAAAAAATAAAAAAAACATGGTCATCGGTTAGCTACGTGTGTGCATTTAATTCACCATTGTGTTTTGTCCTTTATTGCATATTTCTCGAATCAATTGACAAATACTTAAGAATAGCTAAAGGTTTGAAAGTTTCACCAATTTGCTGTGGAATATCTTTCTTTATTTACGTGCGCCTTTTCCCGCCCTATTATGTAAACAGTCTAAGCGTGCTGGGTTTTCTTACTAACACTGTCGCTGACGCGTTATATGGGAGAATATAGCATTGCTGACATGGATGAAATATATGTACTCTCGTTCATCGTATCAGAAACTTTTATAACTAGTATACTTACACGCTCTACACTACTCCCTAATATAGTATCAAAAGACATGGCAGTCAATTTAGTATATTTAATGAGAGTAGATTCAATATTGAATTTAATTAACTCGTTCTAAAAATAAAAACATCAGTCGTGTACATATAATTTATATCTACTTCACGTTTATCCAATTAAAAGCGGAATTGCGGACATGAAGTATAACAAAGCCTCTTATACAGAAAAAACGGTAAACGGACGGACAGACGGACATTTATGTTTTAAAGACGAACCGACTTTCTAATGACTGTTATATGCAAAGTTCATGTTTTGGTATGACATGGAATGACACATTATACGAAAAGATCAGATAATTGAGGATTTCTAAAAACAATAGTAACTAAACACAGCTGTTATTTAATTTCGAGCACTATTCGCTAAAATGCGATGAATAAATTAATTCGAGGAATAGTTATAGTTATAAGTCCTAAGCCTTGAATACATAGTTACACGTTTAAAATTCCTTAATATGTTGAACTGTAAGGTTGCATAGCCAAGAGGTCATTGCTTTTATCCGATTTTCGAATATCCATAACATGTGTTTTGTGTATTGTTTAATTTTAAATTTACCTTTTTAAAAAATTGTGACGTCTACTTTAGACGATGGAAATGACGACGAAAGTGACGGTAAAAATGATGATGAATATAACGATGATGGTGACGATGAAAATGACGATAAAAATGATGATGAATATAACGATGAAGGTGACGATGAAAAAGACGGTGAAAATGACGATGGAAACACAACTCCAATTATCATATCTGTCATAATCCTTGTAGTCATAGCAACTGGGGCTGTCATTTTCTGGATAAAATGGTAATTTATAATGTGGATAACAATGATTATCATATTACTAAAAGGATGCATTATTCACGGTTTAAGTTTTTAATCCATCCTTATGGTTTTATTATAAGTGTTTGCATTTATATACAAGTTAAACGTTTTAGTTTTTAATTAACAAGGCTTAAATAAGGCTTAAAATATGTATGAGTAGCTTAGCTTTTAGTATTATAGATTTGTTTTGTTACAATATAATTTGCATGTTTGTATGATTAAAGGCAAAGATGTCATAATGACAAACAACAATTCCCTGAAGTAAAGCCTGTCCAAAGAACAACAAGGCAAGAAAACGCAATGTTCCAAACTCTTCCAGAAATATCAACGTCGATTTATTCAACCGAAACAGCTGACAACCCTTACAATTACACCGAGATAACAGATCTTCAAAATTCACCAACCAGTCCAAAACCTGTCCTTGATGTCTCTGAAACGATGTCAAAAGGCTTATATGACCGTGCTAATTCAAGACCACCTCTAAACGCACCAAGCCATTCGAATTACAATCATATTGTGATCAACAAAGATGGATTGACTTCCGAAAACAGTTATTCGTGTACGGAAAATCTTCGTAGACATGAAGTTCTTCTATCGACACTAGGGAAGAATAATGAAAGCACATATAACACGCTGACTGAGGATGCCCATAGCAATGTAAATGTTGACTTATATAACCATGCAGGTGTGAGATTATTTTCCACCAATGTCAATAAGCCTGGAACTGGAAGCAAAGAATATTCCCATTTAACAAGCGTGGAGAGAGAACACAATTGATATGAAAGATATGTCGTAACAAATTTGATAATGATTTATTAAAGTGGACACAAAAAGCTGTGAAAGGGTGGCATTTTGGAGAAAAATGATATAATAATGTGGTTTACAATTGTGACGAAATTGAGACATTGTTTACATATGTACAAGAATTGTTAAATAAGATCAATTGAATTTTTATTTTAAGATATTCATTTTTGTACAACATGCTATGGACATATTCAAATGATTAAATGAATGTTAAATTAGTCAAGTCAATCTAATCGAATCCAACCCCCAAGTGTTTTGTATTATCTTGCATTATAACTGTGATTATTTGAATTCCAAAATGTATTCAAAACTGTAAAGCAAGCATACTTGTAAATCAAAAAGATATGTTGTATTATATTAGCTCAAACATGCCATTCGTCAATGTCCGTGTTTATCAAAAAGGGACCAACAGTGTTCAAACCGTTACAAATCGAAGTATACTTATTTTCACCTACAATGCGGTTAAAATATAACATAAATTTATGTATGCTAGTTTGCTTTTAACATAGAGATACCCACATCTTTGGTAATAGTCTATCGGTCGCTCCATTTAACATGCTTCCATGGATATCAACCTACTGGCCTATCAGTGTTGATGACAGACAAATGGCCATTTAACTCCGAGATTAGTTTTCACGGCGACATTTTACCTCGCCTGATGATCAAATCAACGACTCCTGTATTTAAATCTGATGCTCCCATTAGTGAGCAAGTACGCGGAAAAAACTTGCAGTAATTGCTTACAGTTTGACATGAACGATCTTTTAGGACACAATAAAAAGCATTAGAGATATAACTACAATTATAAACAACGTTGTTTTTTTAAATAATAAAATGTAAGTTAAATAATGGCCTTATTTCTTAATTATAGAAGTATTTGGTTATACATTTTTTTTTTCATTTCATATATTCACTCTGATAAAGAATAATCAAGATTTTTTGAAAATAACAAAAAGAAGATATTTAGGTTGAGAGAAATGATATAAAGACCTATAATTTTGAGTTTTCTTGTTTAGAAAAATGGTATACGAGGGCTGTCCGGAAAGTTCGTAGACAAGGCTATAAAATTATTTTAAGCAGACATATCAATATGATGATTTAATACTTTACTTAAGTATTTATCTGCTACATATTTCTAAATTAAAAAACATGATAAAAGTAATATTCGCAAAGCGCCGATCACCATGGCAACATGATCAACGAACCACGGAGCACTTTGATTTCATGATGATAGCTACTCGAATAAAAAGTTGCTAAAAGATGTAATTTTAATGCAATCTCTCGTTTTAATTTTGTGACATCATAGGATAGTATAACATGATATTCAGTGTAAATTATGATGCCATACGTAAATAAACAGCTTGTTTACGGCGATTATAGGCAATGAAGGTGCGTACATTTTGTGTTGCAAAAATGACGTCAAATTAACGGACGGAGCAACGTAATGATATTTAACTTCATAGCAACGCTAATATGGCGCCATCTGAGATTATAATCTTTACCTTTAAAACAAAATTAACCATGAAATGTTAAAGGCAACTTGTGTTTAAATGAATAAATGTCAAACAAGATAAAGAAGCGGTGATGACAGGATATTGTATAAGAAACGCTCCAGAAGTGACCAAAAGTAGCATGGCTGAAATATCGTAGATTGCGTTACAACATTTTTTGAAAAAGGCAGACATCTTACACACAGTATGGGAACCAGTGAAATCTTTATTTTTAAATAATAATTTTAAATATGAAATGTATGAAGCAATAACATGTATTAAGTATACGTCAGACAGGTACCATGATGGCTTTTGAAATCGGAAGAAATTAAATAGTTGGTAAACATGAATTTAATTTGACGCCGTTGACGTTGTCAAAGTGCTCCATGATTATGTATATATGTTTTATGTAAATACTTTTAAAATACAAACGTTAGTCACAGTTCAGTAATTTTTGATAAATGTGTTCGCTAGATATGTATTTTATGCTGACAAAATTTGTACAGCGTATGTATTGTTTTACAATAAAAAAATGAAGATGTATATGAACTTTCCGGACATCTCTCGTATAAAGTGCGTATGATATGCACAGCCATGTATTCATTCATAATATGGTTGCCGAGTTGTGATTTCAGATTTTTTTTAGACTTTTTGAATTATTTTATGGGCTGAAAATTCTTTTAAATTCTTGGGCGTGATTAAGCACAGATGTCCGGCACGTGGCCATGGCCTACACTATACTCCTCTTCCCCCTCTACAACCAAAAACCCTCAAACATCATAAGTACTGACAAAAAATATTTATATGAAAAAAAAAGGATTTATGATTCTTGAAAATAATAAGGTATTTTACTCTACTTTCATTTTGTATAGAACAATAACTAGCATCTTAATTTTGAGCACATACATATTCATCAATTTTCACCTGGTGTCAAATTTTAGATAAATATATTAAGGAAACAATACTGACAGCTTCACAGACTCCTTCTTTTTTTCTTAGCCTTGCCTGATAAACTTTGTAATATCAGGCACTAACATAGTATTCTCTATTTATCAGACACAAGTAGTTAGTATTGCCCTCATTAAAATGATAACATCACTATGTATATTAAAATCATTTTAACACGCAAATTCTATTAGAACATCAGAAACTGAATAGTTTTAGTATGTGCCAATCACACGTGGTTTAAATTAAATATCTCAGAGTACGTAAATTGGCAAAACTTGCAAACCATACACACACAGCTCGTAAAGCCCCTTACGCTTATAAATAGAGAAGAAAAACATTCCTATGCCACAGGGACGAAATCCTATAGTTATTATCTCTTTTTTTGGGAAGGGAGATATTGTTGTTTTTCTCATTATCATTTTTTTATTTGAACTTTGAAAGCATATTTTCCACTTTTCCAGTTCCAGATCCAAATATTAGAATAACAACTAGTTAGATAATTTGCATTAAGCTCAATCAAGGATAAAACAAGTCAGAAAAAGTATATATTATCTTTGAATCATAATGATATCAAATTTAGATTCACAATTCCCCGTTTGTTCCAATGCTTGATAGGCTGTGTTATTAGTAATGTTGAATGAAAAATTGATTAAACAGGTATATAAGGCTAAAAAAGATGCCAAGGTGAATCTGGTTTGCCAGATTTTTATACTCCACAACAGCAGGTGTCAAGTGCCGTGTGGCAGCTGTAAAAAGTTGCCCCGTACTTCACTTCAGTGTTGTTATATTTTTCTGGTCCTTGGGGATCATTGATACCAGCACTATTAAGTGTTGAGAATTGAGTACCGCTCAATCCGGTGATGGGGTTGTGAGGGATGTTGCACGTATTCATTATCCCTCATCCTCATGTACAGACTCAATCAAACCGAGTCTGCAATTTCCATGTAAATTTGTTGGACTAATGCTTCTGAGGGACCTCTTTGTTTCCAGATTTTTTTACATGCAAACATTATTTCGAATCTTTGTATTCATGAAGAAATGTAAGCAGTGCCTGTTTAATTGTTTAATAATGGCAGTATTTACTTGTGCAAATTAAATGTTGTGATTGGAAACAGTTATGCAGGACTCTCAGTATGGTTAGTTCAAAAGACTTCCCTACGAGTTTATTTATTATTATATGTTATGGATGAGCAATGTTTTATCTTTACGACAAAGAAGCTATATTAAAAAAAAGGTACTGTACCCAGGAATATAGCTTTGAATGTTTAAATATATTGAGTATCAGAAAGTTCTGAATCACCCGAGGCTATTTGACCAACTTTAAGACATAAGTTTCATTATTCAGATCAGTCTTTCAGGGATGATGAATTTTTATACAAACTTTGTTAGATATGTCATAACAATTGTTAATACTCGCCAACAATACTTTTCAGCTAACTGTAATTTATAACACTTTACACCACACAGTATCTTAATGACTATAAATTGTATGTATACAACTTTATGTTGAATAAAATATATGTTATATGCTATATGTTACATTTCTATGGTCATTGGCTTTAGTTATAGTTAATATAACGTAATGTTTTACTTTTGAAAGGAATATAATTTTGTTAAGAATGATAATTATCAAAATATTATTAATTGTATTTCTAACCAATTGATTCAAGATAAGGTTAACCAATAATCCAACATAATTAACTATCGATATCATTAGCAAAGATAATATACGCTACCGCGTACAACAAACACTGATTCTTTTATTGAAGTTATTGGTCTAGTCCTACACGAAATGGAGCGGTGGGCTAGTGATAAAGGTGTCTGCCAATCAACCCTGGGATCATACTGGGCTCGAGCCCTACTTGATCATTTTTCTTATATTACACAAGAACTTGCTAGTTCCAGGAAGAAGACTCGAGAGTGATAAACATAAGTTGCAAGAACTTGTTTCTTAATCGAGCTAAATTTCGTAAGTTTAAGCGAATTAAATTGAACTATTATTTTGAAACCTTATTTCCAGTCATAGCATGTCAAAAAAGCAGTGGAGTCCCGTTAATTTCAGATTTATATTTTTACTTTTTGAGTACGTGTGGCCATAATACAATACTATTGCATGTTCTTTTCTGGCCAAAGGTCGCTCTAAGATCAATATTTTTGTACTGTTGTTCTTTGTTCCTACGAATATGCCATTAGACTAACATGTGTTTCTACAAAGAACTAGTAATCACGAGTTGTTGTTGCATGACTGTATATTTTCAGATATGAAAATTAAAACGGAATATTGCATAAATATTCAATTTATTTTTTTTTAATCTGCATTGCGCGTGTTTAATTTATGTATTTGAGTTGCTATTTTAAATGATCTATTTTTGCATAATAAAAGCAGATGTGTCCCGAACGCAGAATTAGATTGGGCCTATTTGTTTAGAGGTAGGTATAAATGTCCTACAATGTATTACAATTTGTACTATTATTTTATGCTCTGTGAATAAAATATGTAATAACCGTAGCTCTTCACAAATCATTAATTACTGCAAGGTTTATAAAAGAAAAAATATTACTTAAAGAATGGTATGTTTTCCAGACAGTAAGATTCAAATAATAAAATAAACCGAAACAAATGTCTGGTCTAAGAAACGAATGAAATGTGCATGCTTATATCTATGATTTCTTAAAAAAGTATATCTTATGAGTTTTTGATAAAAAATATATCAAAAATAAATAAATGTTTCCTTATTAACGATCCTCGGAAAAATTGTAACATAGAATGTCTTTGTTCTTTAACTTACATGAATATATATTGTACATAAACAGAACAAAACTTTTTTGCACTATTTCTTTGAATGCCCAAATTTTAACACACACAGACAAAAGCAATTTCGAAGTCATTACTCCTAATACACCCAGATACAGATAATGCCACTGTTTATATTTACATATCGGAAACAAAACTATTTCTCTGATGCAGTTGTGAGACACTCTTTGTCTTATACCAATTTTGCTATAATAATTCAGCAATGTTTTGTTATTTACAACATCACATTA